TGAATGGTAAACTATCGGACGAATTCCATTTGACACTGTCCCTCCGGCAAGGGTGCCCCTTAGCACCCCTTCTGTTCGTCTTACAACTCGAAACCCTCCTTGACAACATTAGATACAGTGAAACCATAGTGGGACTCAAAGTTAATCCAGCACTTCATTGGAAATGCAGCGCTATCGCGGACGATCTCACTGTAGCATGTACAAACACCAAAGAATCTCTCGATGAACTGCACAACGTTCTGGAAAATTACTGTCACATGTCTGAAGCATCGATAAACTGGAGTAAATCAGTGTTCCTTTTGCCCAAACCCTTCCAGATAGTCTCAGACTGGGGCATGCAGCAGGTACCCATGCAAAATTCGGAGCGCCTACTCGGTATCCAAGTCTCCCTGTCAGACATGTCAGGTGCACAAGACTCCATCTTGATGTCCAAGGTGATTGCCCGCATCACAAGCTGGGAAAAAAACTACTCCCTGTCCTTATTTGGAAGGGCATTAGTTCTATCTGCGGCGGCCTTCTCACTGCTTTGGTTCCCGTGTACCTTACACTTGTTGGGGGTAGCAGCATACAAAGCAATAAGGAGTGCAGCTGCCAAATACCTGTGGAAACCAAAAGCCGGAGAAGATCAGGGGGGTTTGTCCAAAGTTGCTTGGGACTTGGTGTCAGCTAGTAGAGATGAGGGGGGTCTAGGGGTTCTAGATCCCCAGCTACAAAACAGGGCCCTCCTGGCAAAATGGCCGATTAAAGGTATGATGGACGATCACCAACAGAATTGGAAACAGGTGGCGGAATACATATTGGCCAAAGAATGGGAGCTATCTCAACCGAAGGATGTGTAGAGATGTCTTGAAGTACCCACCTTCACAAGGAAGAGACCTAAGAGCAAACTCTGGAGGAACCTGCTCTTTGCATGGAATAAAGTTAAACCGAACATCAGAGAGAAACCCACGACTAAATCAGAGATTTTACTCCAACCCTTATTTGATAATCCTCTGGTAACTCAGGATAACCTCACACCCTTCCCGGCAGACGACAGCAAGGGAAGCTTTGGTAAATCATGGATATCTAGGGGAGTCATCCAAATTAGGGACATCTGGGACTCAGACAAACAAGAGTGGGTGCTTTCAGCCGATTTAAGGACCAAACTACCTAGACTACATAACATTCATGCCAACAAGGTAAAACTCATAGCCGCAGTCCCAAGAGACTGGGTTGCTACCCTCAAGCGCCCCTTACTACAAACACATAACACATGGATTAAAAGAGACATGGATGATGATTGCGTATGGCGGGTAGTACGCCCAGACATACCAGATGGGACCAGACTCCAGAAATGGGAAGTTGTTAACAAGTCCATGCAGCATCAACCACTGATCTTTGTAGAAGAAAGAAGAATACACCCAGATCTGGATTGGGAGAACGTGAAGGAAGTCAGAGTTTTGTCTAAATTTGACAAGACTGGCAAGGAGCTGTGTAGGTTAGGTAGAGAGGCCAACACCTATGCAGTAGAGCCCTTTTTGCAGGGCTGGAGTGGGAGTTTCCGACAGGGGGAGTTGGTGCCTTTATCACATTACAAGGCTAAGATAGGAGTAAGGGCACAAAGGGATCAGCTGCAACGGAAACCTCTCTCCGTGGCAGTGGAAAGATGGGCAACTAAATATCCTCTGCTGATGGCTGAAGAGAATGTGTTGTGTATCTGGAAACAATTGAGAAAACTCCCCGAACAAAGAGTCGCCAGTCTACTTTGGATGCAATCCCTTGACGTAATTCCCTCGGCAGAATGGTTGATCACAAAACAGGTGGAAGTCCCGCGAGCCTGTTTGAGGTGTAAGTGGGCCTGGGAGTCCACGGCCCATATCTGGGTGCACTGCCCCTACTCACTCAGGATCTGGCAGTGGTGGAGGAAACACTGGAAGGCCTTCTCCTCGGAGGCCTTTCCTTTTTTTTTTTTCCCAAGATAACCGAGGGTCGAGCGTAGAACACTCCACACTCCCCGTACCACTCAAAGCTTGGGTAACCCTACAGCGCTATTTCCTGGGCTTTAAGAACAGCCACTATTTTTGGACAGATGAATGGATTGAAACAGGAGTAAGCCATGGAACGCAGAACTACAACTCAGGCTGGGGATACATCGGACAGGCTTGTAGGGGTATTATTATGAATGCCATTTGGCAATCTAGAAACAATGCTGTTTTCAGATCAGAACTTCCAGGTAGGGGACAGATGCTGGCACAAATAAGAAAACATTTGAGATTGACAATCCTCGTAGATCAGAAAAGGAGAGGCCCAATGTGGTTTTCCCAGACCTGGAGATTAGAGAGCAAACTTGCTAAATTAGACAGCAACCTGAAGGTCATCCTGGGACCCTGGCTCTCTAGAAACTTTTAAGAAACGGAAGCAGTGGGAATCACTTCTGCCTTGATGATCGCGGCCTGTCTATGTACAGTACCAACTATTTAGGCTTAGCAGGCATATCTCTGAGTACTGCCTATAAGGCTAGCAAGGCACTCTAAACAGGCAACCATCTGGGTGAGAGGACTGCGAGTAGGATTCACAGAGACTCGTCATAGTTAATGGGTAACCTCAGTTGCAGCCAGTTGGGACGCTGGACCCGTTTTCCAGCAGGTAACATGCTTTGAAGCGAAACCGGGTAAAGCTCCCAGATTCTAGTATCCCTCCGTTTTGCGCCGGGTAGACTGTGGGCCCGGGTAGACGGTGGGGACCCCGGCCCCAATCTGCATTTTGTATAAGGGACGCTGGGCCCGGTTCCCAGCATGTCGGGGCTGACAGGGACAAGCTCAGGCACTCGGAGCTATTGTGGATCCACCCACCCACAGACCTAGGCATTATGGATTCAGCAGGCAGCCCTTCAGGCTGAGAGGGTCTGTGGTCTCTTCTGAGCTTGTAAGGGTACTGAGCAGCAGAACGCTTAAGGATTTCAGATAGCCTTTTTTTTTTTTTTTTTTTTT